TACTTTGTATATTTTTCAGTTAGTTAAACAAAATATTCATCAGAGAGGGCATATTGTGTGGCCCGGCAAAATGGATAGCTTAAAAATACGTAGGATGCTTAAAATAATATAAATTTATTTAAATTATAAAAAAATAATCGATTTTTTGGAATAGATATAAAGTCATATATCAAATTATTTATAATAAAAACAATGTACTATGTATATTTTTTTGTGCGTTATATAAAATAATCAGCAGGGATAATAGAGCAATGGTGGATCCGACAAAATGGTAAGCTTTTAAAAAAGTAGGATCCTTAAAAATTGTTATATTAATTTAGTTAAATATTAAAATGTACTTTGTATATTTTTCAGTTAGTTGGATAAAATATTCATAAGAGATAAAAGGACATATTGTGCAGCCTGACAAAAAGGATAGCCTTAAAAATAGGTAGGATGATTAAAATAATATAAATTTAATTAAAAAGTTAAAAAAATGACTTGTCTAAATTATTAAGTCTTATCAGGAGATAAAAAGTGATACTTTTGAATTATTCGCTATTCATTTACATTTTCCAGAATTATTTTATGTTTGTTTATAGATATATTCCTAAATATTTTTTTATATTTATTTGTGCGCAAAGTCATGCGAATGAAACAAAATAAGATAAGGGTGATTTATTTTGTGAACATTTATAGAAATGGCCCCAAAAATAAATGATTTAAATTGGAGGAAAATGAAGAATAAAACTATTTACATTCCTACGTTACGTTTAAATTTATCTGTTTTCAGATATAATATTTTAACCTAGATAAGTATTTCCTTATTAAGTTTAGAATTTAGTATTTTAAGATAAGAGTGCACTCGTTATTCATTTCCTCCGGAGATTATATTGGAAGTTAAGGTTGAGCAAAAGCAATATTTATTATTTAAATTCCTCAGTAGTAAAAAAAGTCTATGTAGCCGTTATATTAAAATGAATCCATTGTGTTAATTAAAACCATACAGCATCCTAAATTGTATCATTATTAGTCATCAATTTATAATTTTAGTTACACAACAGTTTGGCTTAATTTTAATAATTCATCTAATTTATGAGATAGATGAGACATTCAGTTCTAGTTTAACACAATTTAATAAACTTATTCAAATATTTAAAATTTTCAAACCAAGAAAATGTGATGAGAAATTCAGTTTAATATAGACTTATTCAAATATTTAAAATTTTCAAAACGGGGGAAATGTGATTGAATAAGGCAAATTATATGAAGTATTTGCTTGAAATTTTATGATATTTAGTGATACTTAGTGAAAGTAAGTGTTAAAGAGTAACCCAGTTTACATTTGTCATAATGTTTTTTGAACCACATATTCAGTTTAATTTAACATAATTTAATAGACTTATTCAAATATTTAAAATTTTCAAAACAGGGAAATGTGATTGAATAAGGCAATTTATTTCAAGTAGTTGCTTGAAATTTTGTGATATTTAGTGAAAGTGTTAATGAGTAACCCAGTTTACATTGGTCATAATGTTTTTGAACCACATAAGATCAACCTGCATTCAAATTTCCTATTTTTTAATTAATATTCTTGATTAAATTTACACCCCGCTTTAACCTAATTAAAGATTCGTATTCTAAATTTATAAAGTAGATAAAACATTTAGTATAATTAACTTAATTTAATATTCTTATTTAAATATTTAAACTTCAGAAAACAAACAGATATAAGTGAATAAGGCAATTATAAGGATTAGTTGCCTGAAGATTTACAATATACTTGTATGATCCATAGCCTTCAGCCTGTTTCACATGAAAATCCTAGAGTGCCCTTATTTAGAGAATTTTTTTAAATTACTGGCATTCCTATTTCAGGAATTCAAGGAAAATGATTAACTTGTTGAACCATCGTCCAAGCAGTATTATTTATAAATATCTATCCATTTTTGCAAAATCAAATGTGATAAAATGTTATTAACAAATATGGTTCCCGTTCTAAATCTCTAAAAATAATAATCGCTAAAAATAATAAAAAATATAATCTATTTAACCGATGACATGGCGTAACGATGACATGACGTCACGGTGACGTAGTGAGGACATCGGAAAATTATAATATAGATATGTGTAATTAATGATATGGAAATATCACCGCCGAAGGCTACGAAATTAAATTTGTTAGGGTGTAGGAATAGGTTTCTGAAAGGGGTTTGCATCCAGTGAATAGCCTATTATATAGATGCTGAGTGAAAGGAAAGGATTTCCCTTCCGATCACAACACTTCCTATATCTTTCCTTTCGATCCATGTACTTCCGATTACAACACTTTCTATATCCCTTTCGATACCTGCCAATCCCTTCATTTCCTATACCTTCTCCTCCCATCTATTTCCCTCCCTATACCTCCTTTCGCCACTCTTCCCTTTCCCCCCTTTTCCTTTTACCCTTACCTTTACCTTCATTCCTCTCATTACCTCTCTCCTTCTCTTCTTTTCCCTTTCTTCCACTTTCATATCATCTTTTTCCGCCTTTTCCCTTCCCTCAAATCCCTTCCCTGACTCTAAAAAAATAAAGGAAACAAAACAACACTACAACATAACATAACAAGAAGAGGAGAGAAGGGAAGATAAGAAAATTTTTTATATTCGCTTAAAATGATATTTACGGAAGACAAATTGCGGTGGGGGGGGGGGGGGTCCCTTTTCGTTATGCGCCTGTCCTGGATAATATAATTTATCAATATTTTATTATAATTTTTTCATAATTGCCATCATCTATCATTTAAATACCGGGCCAGATCAAAAAAAATATTTTAAATACTTTGGCCAGGCCGAATATTTTAAATCGTTATTATTTTTACAAAAATTAAAAAAAAATTAAACATTTTTTAAAAAATTAGGGCTAGGCCTGAAAATGTACCTCTGCAGGTCTCTGATATATAATATATAATCAAAATTGTCATAAGTAGTGTTGTTAAACGGTTTGATTTGAGCAGATTTTTTAAAACGGCACTCAATATTTTATTCGGAAAAATATCACGCAAACCTGAAGAGTTTGCCCATTAGTGGCACAAAGGTTTGGACATTTATTCGCAAAATTTTGAAGTTTAGTCAATAATTTTTGGCTAAAATATTGAGTTAGCCGTTTTTAAAAATCGGCTCAAATCGAGCACACTAGTCATAAGTATAACAATACTGTATGGACAATCCTGTATCCAATACATATTTTATGTATCAAACGATATCCGCAATACATTCGATATCTAAATTATTGTAGGTGTGCCCCTATACATTTACACTGTATCGAAAATTTGATTTTAAATTAGTTTATTTTTTATATCAATTTTACAAATATAAAAGAATATTTAATTTTCACATAAATTAAAATAAATAAATATTTATACATAAATTAAACTAAATAAATATTTATATATAAATTAAAATAAATAAATATTTATACATAAATTAAAATAAATAAATATTTATACATAAATTAAAATAAATAAATATTTATACATAAATTAAAATAAATAAATATTTATACATAATAAAAAATATTTATACCTAGTTAAATATAAAAATATTTAGTGTTTATTTGAATAAATTACATTAATTAATCGGTATTTTACAAATGCCATTTCTTATTTTTTCGATAACTTTTTATAAATACAATAAAAGTATTGAAAGGGATTTTTCCAAAATAAGATATCCAAGAGTGTTTTTGTAAGGCCCGATTTAAGTCGCTTAAAAACGGTCCGATTACGATTTTAGCTAAAATAATATTATATCCTCGAGATTTGGCAAATAGATATCTTTCTGCCATCTATGAGTAAAGTCTCCAGGCTTATATAATATTATTTTGGTTATAATCTTAATCGATCCGTTTTTAAAAATCGACCACAATCGGGCTTTTAAACAACACAATCTAAGACAATAAACATAGTTTCATTGAGGTCTTAAAGTTTATTCTACAATTATAATGTAATAATTAACTCCTACTTTTACAGTGATTGATAATAATGAAATAAAAAAAGCGAATGAAGATAATTATTTTATCCCATTGCAATTTTTGATCTTTAAGATAATGATGCTTAAAATTCATAGGTAGCTACCATACTTCACCCGCATTTCAAGATTGAATAGAGTTGGATTTAAACCCCAAATAGAGAAAAGAAGAGCTGATCAGATTGGAATTGTCAACCTTCCCTATATCACATATATATCAAGCTCCTAGAAAAATGTAAAAAGGACCATCCTTTTTTAGATAAACCTATGCTACATGATGATAATTTTTAATATAAAGAAAACCTAGACAATTTTTAAGCATTAAAGATACACTATTTTATTTAATTTTCCAATTATTAAACAGTTGTTTATAAAATAAATTTAAAAAAAACACTTCCATTCCTTCCAGCACACCGGCTAAGAGCTTGTTCCGCATGGCCAAAAATGTATATTTTGAAGTGATAAGAAGGTTATTTGTTTTAGATGTGAATTTCTACAAATAATTATCAAAATCGTATGAGAAATCCATACTATTCCAAGGATTTTGGAGGAAATATATATAGTATTTAGAATATTCATTTTGGAATTTAGGCGCCCAAATTAAAAAAAAAATTCTATGTTTTTAGTTTTACAAATTATTTAAGAAAACATGATTTATTAAAATAATTCGGTTTTTTCTCACCAATTAATTTATCCTTTAAGAATTAAGAAATCATTATTTTATGAGCGTTTCAGTATTAAATCAAATCAAAACATTTTTTAAAAAAAATTCGTTTTTATTCTAAATTATTATAGGAGCCTTTAAAAAATATTGATTATTTATAAATAAATAGGTCTATAAAAAATTTCCTGATTAGATGATTATGAGTACCCATTCATAATTTCGAAGTGTAAAAACAAAATATTAATAAACTATAAAGAGAAAAGCTCTTATTTTGTATGATATTAATTATGTGTTTAAATATATCACAATAATAGAAATTGAATTTGAAAAAATATATCTTTATTCTCTATTCGTTCCCCATTATTAAAAATGCAGTTACTATAAATTAAAATTATTATAATAATAAAATGTTTGGCAAATTAAAAACGTGAAAATTGTTTTCTGTAGCGTTCAAAATAAAAATCGTCGGTAGCCTTTTCTGGATTGATGCGTTTGTGCGAAAAGTCTGAAATTTTTTTATTAAGGATTATTTAATGTTTTCAAAACGTTATGAATCGAAAAATTAAATCGCTTCATTAGACAATTTCGAGCTAAATTATAAAAAAATTATATTGAGTAATAAATAATAACCCGATTCTCATAGATACAAACTTATTTTATATAAAACTTATTATTATCTATTGGGAAAAATTACCTGTCTTTTTATTGCTCTTATGAATAACTTGAACAACTGGGTTAATAACTGCTTTAGCGACATTTTTTGAATCGTTATCACTAATATTTTTTAGTATAACGAAACTCTCTATGTCTTTAGCTATCGTTTCCTTGATATAACTATCATGGTGGTCAGATTCGATTAAGACAGTAGGTTCTGGTTTAACAGGGATAAGAATAGTTATCGTCTTTTGATTTGAATTATTGATAGAAGCAGGACTGTTGGTATTGCAATATCGTTTGTCAAAAAAATGTTGTCGGGACATAATCTCGGCGTTCCTTTGGTTAGTTGGATTGAGATTAGACTGATCTTTTTCTATTTTAACTTTTTTTACACGTAAAATTTATATTTAATTAGATATATATAAAACAACAGTGAAGTCGACTGTTTCATAGTGTAATTATTTAAAAATAGTATACAACCTAGAAAACTTGTTTCTAGTGGGGAAAATGATCTTTATAATATTAATGTTCCTAAATGTTTTTTGTTTATAATAATTTCACTCTACATCGATTATGTTGAGCAAAATTGACAGCCATATTAGCAGGAACGAAGGAAGACGGTTTGCTTTTGTCAGAATGCTTTGATTCGAGAACCTTTTGCTTCTCAAGTTCGGTAGCTTCGATATTTGCTATTTTTGTCCTATTTGTTAAAGTTAAAATTATAATTTGTGATATTCCTTTAGGCGTGATAAAATTTAATTGAGTTTAATAATTTTCTACAATTTTTTAATTTTAGTAAAATAAAAAATACATAGATTAAATAAGTTTGAAAAAAATTCGGTTAATTTTTATAAAAAAAATTATTTGCCATTAATTTCTCAAAAATTGCATTCTTGTAATTAATTTAATAGGTGAACTTAATGAATATTTATATATAAAAGTTTAGCAATAAACGGTATATCCAACAACCTAAAATAGTGGGTATAAATAATCATAACTCTGTTTACCAAATTTAAAAAAGAAAATATATTTGTGTTTATATAATTATATATAAATATATACTCCAATCCCAAATTGACTTCTGGAATTCCACTCAGCATTTGATTGGACATCATTTCTTCTGATTTATTTTTCTTATTATCGACGTAAGATTTTTTAAGATGATCTGATACGTAATATAGCGCGTCGTTTGGGTGTAGCAAAAATTTTCTAAAAAAATATATAAACTTGTCTGTAATTTTAATTTTTTTAAATTAATATATTTAAAGTAATAAGTACGATGGAAAAAACATATTTGATAGCTGAACCGCCTAAAACTATATTTGTAGTGTACTTATAATTAGAGTATTGGGAGGAGTGTATAAAGATAATAATGGAAATAAAATTTTTCAAATTAATTTATTTCAGAACAAAACTTACAAACAAAAAGTTTATAAAAAGATCTTTGAAAAAAAGAATATTTTTTTTCAAATAAAAATGAGTTAATAAATTACCGTTCGTTAGCATCTTCACTTTTATCTTCAGCCTTACCCTTTCTTTTTTCCAATTCTATTTCGATAAATTTCATCCTTTATAATTGAAGTTAAAATACCCATTTTAATAATATTTTGGATTTCTCCCGTGTCATATAATTTCTCCCAAAATTATCGTGGATAAGAAATAGTCTCACTACATTTAGATCTATAAAATAATCAATTTGGCCCCCAAGACCTGGGTTGGGAACGTTTTCGAATATCTTACATATTACAAATTTTTGAAAAGTATTAGTACTTATTTCAACTAAAATTTCAAAAAGATTATAAGACAGTTTTTTAACATATTAATCAATTAAATGTATAATATATTATAACTAGTAGATAGCCCGTCAAATGACGGGGAATGAGAATTTTCTTCTTACTTTTTTGCATGTTACCTGTTATTTAAAAATAATATCCAATTTTTATTCTTCTTACCCCCTCATCCCTTCAGGCCAGGTTCAATCCATTAAAACTAAGTGCTATGGTTTGAGTAAAAATAAATTTAAAGCATTTACTTGATAATGCCAATATTAATTGTTAAATATTACTGATTACTTATACCTAATATTTAATATTAAAAAAAATTTCCAGGCAAAGTCCAAAGCCATATTAATTATGAAAAATTCTTCCAAGCCCAATGAAAGATCATAATAATTTTGGTAGTTAAGAACTGAAATAAAATATTTAAATAATCATAATGAATTTAAAAATACAATCAAAATTCAGATTTTCATGGGCTTTGGTTTTTTGATCAGGTCAAACCCAGGCCTGCAAAAAATTTGTTTTGGGCCAATGTCTGACCTATAATTAATAATAAAAAAATTCTCAAGCGTCCAAGCTCATAATAATTTTGAAAAATTTTCCCCAAGCCCAGCCCAATATAATTTATAAAAATATTTTCCAAGTCCAGCCCAACCCATAATAATTTTATAAAAATTTTCTCAAACCTGGCCAACCGATAGTAATTTAATTTTTTTTTCCAAGCCTGGAGATAGGTAAATCTCTAAAAACCATATCTATTTTAACCCAGCTCACCCCAACCAAGGCCAACCCATTAAGACTAAGAGTGAATACTCTTTTTTTGAATAAAAATATATTTAAATTAGATTTTACCCGAGGGCCATATAAATATTATGTGTTAAATATTACACCTATGCGTAATATTAAAAAAATTCCGAAGCCAAGTCCTCGCACTTGTGTTTTCTTAAACCCGCAAAAGACCATAATAATTTTGATAGTTGAGGACTGAAATAAGATATATAAAAAGTCACAATGCATTTAAAAATACGATCAGAATATTAAAGTTGCATGGGCCTTGGTTTTTGATCAGGCCTTGCCATGTGTTCAAAAGAAATTTTCAGGCAAATTTCTAGCCCATATTTATAATTAAAAAAATTACAGGAATCTTAGACTATAATAATTATGAAAAAATGTTTCTCAAGTTATGTCCAAGTCCATATTAATGGTAAAAATATTTTCCAAGCCCAGGAAAACCCAAATAATTTATTTTGATCCAGAAAAATAGGTCTGCTGCAATGGGTTTATAAGAATTAAATCTGTCTAATTTCAAAATTATCATCAAATGAAGGGTAAATATCTGATTTACCTATGATTCTACTGGTGAGCTCCTGGTATTTATATGAAATTCATGAACACATATTAAAGTACCATTCTGAATCATCCTAATTTAAATTTTAAACAAACTAAATGATTTATTACTTAGTTACAAAATATTAAATTAAATTTAAAAAATTGTTATTAAATTTTTTTTTCAATCATAGTCAAATTATATATAAGTAAAACAAAAAGGTTATACATTTAATCAAAAATGTTATAATAAGTTATGAATAACATACATTCTACAATTATGAAGTTATGAGTATAAATATACAAAATTTTCCTATCTTATGAGGTTTTATTTGATTTATATTTATTTTGGGGTTATTCTAAAATTTCCCATTATTTTTATAAAATATGTTAATGATATATTTAGTAATTTTATTTGTTATTTATTTGTATTTGTAATTTATAATCTAAAAATCTATTCTTGCTAGATAAGAGTTTGTGTTACCAAAGTGGGCTTTGTCCCTTCCATATCTTTCTTATCTTTTCTGAAACCCTAATATAATGGTATAAAATTCTAAATTATACATAAATTCAAGAATTAAAATAGTATTTAAATAAATCTCTTATTACTATTGAATGGGTACTTGCCATTTAAAGTTATACCTTATTCCTATTGAATTGATACTTGATGCATTTAAAGTTCTTTTTACTCCTAAATATTCAGAAATATATATAATATTAGGTGTGTATTCAGGGCATTCAATACACAGGCAAAATTTAAAAAATGTCAACTATTAATTAATTTATGAAAGTTGCATGGGAGATGGTCTTTTGATCAGGCCTGGCTATGTCTGCAAAAAAAATTTCAGACCAATCTATAACCCATATTTAAAACTCAAAAATCTTAAAGCACCACTATTTTAAATTTTCTCCAATATGATTTCCATCATATTTTTAAATTTTGATATTTCTAATACATGCTCACAGTATACATTGCAACAATTTTACCTCTTTTACTCTTAAATTTTTATTAATAGAGTATATTTAATACAATACACACAAACTAAATAATTACCCTTCAACCCATGGTTTTTTGATCAGGCCTGTCTATGTCTGCAAAAAAAATTTCAGACCAATCTATAACCCATATTTAAAAGTCAAAAATCTTAATGCACCTCATTTTAAATTTTATTCAATATGATTTCCATCACATTTTTAAATTTTGATATTTCTAATACATGCTCACAGTATACATTGCAACAATTTTACCTCTTTTACTCTTAAATTTTAATATTTATATAAAATTTATTAATAAAGATATTTAATTCCATACACACAAACTAAATAATTACCCTTCAACATCTATATAATTAATTTTAAATTTATTTGTATTCAAGTTGGTGCATGCGGTTAAGCATATGCCTTTGAAACGGGAGGCTTGAGTTCGATTCTCGTAGAGAGCAAAAAATTAACATTACACTATATAGTCTCCTTAAATTAAAATACATTAGGGAGATACGAAAACGATCGTGTTATGATTATGGAGATTATATATAATAATTAAGTTAAAATTAAAATAGTATTTAAATTTATAACTTAATCTGAGTTTTTATTTATATATATTGATATTATTGTTTTCTTTATTTGTCGGTTTTGTTTCCTTATTTTTATCCTTAAAAAATCATATAATACTGCATGTCTATATGATGATGGTTTGAGTAACTTATCGACATTTTAAAAAAAATAGAAAAAATTAGTTTCCTGATATTAAAAAAATTGAAATAGAAAACCTGGAAGAATAGTAAAATAATGTCCGCCATATTATTTGACAAGCATAGAACAAACTAATTGCTACAAAGACTCTGCAATTCTATAAACTTATATATATATATTGAAGTGGAAGAGAAAAGTCCTTAATAAAAGGAAAGTTTATCCATTCAATAATGATTTCAAAACGGCATTTATAGCCATTGTTCATCGCGATGTTAAATACCGTTAGATTTATGATAACGAGGAGAAAAAAATACCTATCAATAAGTGAAGCATTATTTATTTTGAGAAATAATGTCGAGACTAATCTGCTTTATCATATAGAAGAAAATTATAATTACTTTTGTTTAAAAGATATCGTTTATATAAATAAAAATATTCTGAAGATGTTCATAAAAGTATTAAATTATTTGAAAGATAATTGGCATAATGTTAAAATATTAAATAAATATAAGATATTCTTATACATTATTACCATCTATCACACCCATTGATTATCTTGGTTAATAATGGTCAATAATTCAAATTATCTTCGGCAAAATAAAAATTTGTTTGAAGAAATTAATAATATACATTTATTATAACGATATTTGATTTTTTTTACAAGCATTTTCATGTTATTTTATATTTGATTTATTTCATAAAATGATAATTTACAGTTTTTGGCAAATTTGTTGCACTCTTTTATTGAAAAAAATCTTAAAAATTTCAACCAGGTACCTTGTATAGATATATTCGAATGCAATAATTTCCCCAACCCTGCCCAAGACTAACTAAATTAATTGCCTCTATCCTCATTACTTTGTCATATAACTCTTTGTGATAACATTATGCGGGCTTTTCCTCTGTCAATTAAATTTTTACATTTCTGCATCCTCATCTCGTCTATTAGTTTCTTTGGAAAAACCGGTTCCTATTTCTAACTCAATTGTATCATCGTCTTTAATAAATTCCGATTTTTGCTTTTGTTTTTGAGAATTTGATAATTGAGACAAATCGACCAAACCTCCAAGTTTAAGCTTGAACATATCGTCATGCTACAAATGCATTTAATAAATAGCTTCATATTTATTATACTAAAAAAATACATCGCAAGAAATTCTTGGAAACACCTTTAAAAGTTTCTTAAATATTATTTTTGTAAAATTCATAAATGGTGTTAGTTGGCATGGATAAGATAACATAAATATTTTATAAAAGTAATAATAAAGAAAAAAATATATCATTTATTGTATATTTTTTTTATATTTTGTAAAAAATTAATCTTTTTATTCAATAGAAGATTTTATTTGCTAAAACTGTATCCAAAACCATTTCAAAAAATTAGAAAAGTTTTTGCAAATTTTATTGAAATCGTATATTTAAATTTATAAAAACAAAAAATAGCTTATTCATTTATTTTCATTAAAGTTTCGAAAGTTTAAGAATTTAATTTTTTGATGTTTTGGACAGAGCCTAATAAAAAAAATAATCCTATTCTCAATTTTTAATTTTGGACTTTTGATGATTTTTTCAAGGAAAATAATCATTAATCATTATAAATTTTGTCTCAATCTGACCTGGGTCAAAAAAATGAACAACCTCTTGGATACATTCCCTGAAAGAGGATCAGGTTAAAATGATATTTGTCATAATTTATTTCAAAATTTGGTAGTTGTTTAGCGTTTGTACTAGAGTTCTACAGGGCTGGTGTAATATTTTAAATGAACTCTAAATTTAGATAAACCCGGAGTGTATCTAGTGCTGAGATACAAGAACTCTACAAAAACCATTGAATTTATAGTTTATTTAAATCAGATTTTTCATTTGTAATGAAGAGTGTCTTAAGATCAATTTTTTTATTTTTTTAAATTTATAAATAATTTTAAATTTTTTTTTTGCAAATTAGATATAAATTAAAAGTAAAATATTTCTTGACTAAATATCAACGCAATAACTTATTTAATATATTAATTAAGATTTTTACTTAATAATACAATGATTAATTTTTACTTACATTCTTACTAACATGTATCCTTAATTTGAATGTGCTTTGAATAATTTTTATGATGAATTTATATATACATCTTGTTAATGAAAATTATTATATATTGATACATAATATATTCCTTTCTCCCAATAACAAAAGATAATAAATCAAGTTTATAATTTGTTTATAACATTTCTATTCATTTCAATGGAATTTGATGGGATACAGAATTATACACTATTGAAGATATACATCATCTATGCCTGCCAATAATGGCTTAGCAATCTGCATTTACAAGCCTCCAGATACATAATACACAAGGGTAAATTGTTTCACCATTCTCATAATAGTGAAGTAATTCTAGATTATGATAGAAGACTTTGAACTTCTTAAATAAGTCCACAGTAGATGTGATATGTGGCAACAATATCTCTTGCTCACTAATGGATATCTCTGATAGAAATATAATCCTGTATCTCATCGAATTCTATTATGAATAAAATGTATTAATCAAATTTTATAAACTTGATTTATCGTCTTTTGTTATTTAATTATGGAAAAGAAGGATAATTGTTGTATCAAAATCAACTATTAAAATAAATATAATAAAAATATATATTAAATTTCATTAACAAGTTGTATATGATGAATTCCATGACAAATCAACAAAAAAATACAATTTTCAACCCGAACTCCTCAGATTTTTAAAATTTAACAAGAGTTTGTATTTATACTAAAATTTAGCCTGGAATTTCAAACAGTAACTGAGATAAGCAAAATGCACTCCCTTTAATTATAAATATCTTTAGATATAATTAAGCTAGAACCTGGAAGAAATATTAAATTAATTTTAACTTTTTGATAACATTTAAATAGAATATAAGATATCTGAAATAGAATACTTTGTAATTCACAATTAGGGAACCTTATATATTTATTTAAAAAATTTGGATTTTTAAACATGCCCCAATTAAGATTTTTAACCAAAATAATATTATGTAAGACTGGAGATTTTTCTCATATATAACAAAAAAGTTTGAACTTCTATTTAAATCTCGTGGCTTATATAATATTATTTTGACAATAGTGTGGTTTTTTTAAATCGATTTGAATTTTAGAAACCCTAGATGATTTTGCTCCAATGATTAATTTAGATTATTTTGTTCTTAAAAAGTGTTTTACCACAGAGAGAGAATCTTATCTTGTTTACTGGATTGACTTTTAATTATATCAACTAGTATCAGCCAGTTCAATGGGTACTCCCAGTGTAGCAAATTCTGGGAAAATTAGGATTATATAGAATTTAAGGTCACTTTTAATACATATATTTCATACAATTATCATATTATTCTATTTGTATGATCTTCTTGCGAAAATTTAGGAATTAAATATACCAATATTAAACTAAAAGATGCATAATTGCAAATGAAAGTGGAAGTTTTAAAAAAATCACAAGATTACACACAAAAGCAAAGGATTCCATTTGGGTTATATTATGAACCAACCATTTTTCAGAAGTCTATGGATAATTTGTTGAAAGAGGGCCTAATGACAAGAGTCTATATTATGGCCATTGTGTCAGGTAAAAAATGACAAGCATTCATCAACCTTCAAACTGTTTTAGAATGAAGAGGTTTTGAAGGCAAAATAGACAAAAGTATAATTTTACAGAGTACTGCTTCGTTTTTTAAGAGTAAATGTTACAAATACATTCCAAAAGATGAAAAAGTAAAAGCCACCCAGAAATCTCCAATGCCTCCAAACATGCAACTAGAGCTTATCTTGGCTTGATCAATTGTTATGAATGATTTATTAAGAATCATCATGAATAGGCAGCACCATTACACTGATTGATGTTGGGCATGAACCAGAATAGAGCAAGCTATTTAGAATTAATTAAACTGTTATTATAATTTATAAGACAATTAATATTTGACTGATTTGCCATTGTACTTGAGATAGGTGCTTCCAAAACGGATTTTGGTGATGACTTATTGTATATTTTATTAAGTGGAATAAATAAACCAATAACCTATGCATTCAGTATGTTAATAAACTCAGAAAAACATCATTCAGCAATAGCTAAGGAAGCTCATGTTGTAGTTTGGAATAGAAGAGTTTCATTATTATATTAAAGAAATAACACTTTTATGGAGAAAAAGTTTAATAAGATGGTTTTGGAAGTTGGCTTAATATTATTTTGATATTATCTATTGGGTTCACAGGGAAAATGACTTGATTTATATTTCGATTGTCAGTCAAGGAAGATACAATAAATTGAATTATACACACTAAACATATTTAGCACAGTTTCCAGTCTAATATTTAATATTAGCATAGCACTATTATATTATAAAACTTTTTTTATAATCATGGTTTAATAATTTTTTTAAATAAATTTTTGACAAAAAAAATTGTTTTTAGGCTGTGTCCTAAATATCAAAAATTGCATAAAAATTATCTAATAATATATTTTAATGGAAAATTAAAATGTTAGCCTAAATGATTTTTTCAATTTTGCGCAAATTACGTGATTCTTAAAAGTTTCATGATTCTTAAAACTTTAATCATTTTTTACTTAAACTTTTGCGAATTGAGGGAATAAAATGACGAACGAATTTCAATTAATGGAAAATATAAGACCTTATAGAAATTTGTGAGATACAGCTGCAAGTAAAATCAAATGGGAAGAGATTATATAAATATTATTTTATATTTTAGGTTCAGGTGCTGCTATGATGAACAGCAAGCACCTTAAATTTGTTGAAGATTTTTACTGGCTAAAAGAAAAAGTGGAGGATATATGTAAGCACACTGAAGCAAGTTTCAGATTAAAACAATCTAAGGATGCTATTAATGTACAAATATCTCCACATGTATTATAACATGAAATTAGAACTATATAATAATCTATATTTTAGGATTATGAGCCAAACATCCAAGATATGTTAAATGTTAAAATATCATCACAAGTATATAACATTAAATTAGAACTATATAATAATCTATATTTTAGGATTTAGAGCCAAACATCCAAGATATGTTAAATGTACAAATATCATCACAAGTATATAACATTAAATTAGAACTATATAATAATCTATATCTTAGGATTATGAGCCAAACATCCAAGATATGTTAAATGTACAAATATCATCACAAGTATTATAACATTAAATTAGAACTAAATAATCTATATCTTAGGATTTAGAGCCAAACACACAAGATATGTTAAATGATATAGTCAATCAGAAACAAATTTTTGAATTTAAAATGAAATTTTCCCTTTATATTTATAATTTTCTATATTATTTTCATATTTATTATTTTTTATATTATCTTCATATTTATGATTTTGTATATTTTTATAATAAAAATTATTATGTTTAAGGCTGTGTCCTAAATATCAAAAATTGCATAAAAATTATCTCGCGCAATTTGCGCGAATTTAACGAAAAAATAATATAAGCCATTTTTAATGGAAAATTAAAATGATGGCCTAAATGATTTTTTCGATTTTGCGCAAATCACATGATTCTTAAAAGTTATACGATTCGTAAAACTTTAATCATTTTTTCCTTAAACTTTTACAATTTGAGGGATTAAAATGGCAACCGAATATTTATTAATGGAAAATATTAGAAGATATAGATATTTATGGTGCACTAGTGATCTTAAATAGAGAGACACCGCTGCTAGCAAAATCAAATTAGAAGAGATTGGTAAGAACTTTGATCTTACATATGAAGAAATAAAGAAAAAATTTTCTGGAATAAAGACAAAATTTAATAAAATTTATGTTTTTATGTTTAACTATAGCAGTGTCTATAGACTCCAAATTTATAAGAATGTAGTTGAATGTTTCCACATGCATGTGGAACATCTGACGAAATTTGTCAGGATAAGATGGAATACTATCAAATATTTTAAAAAGTCCTTGATCTCTAGAATTAATACATATAATATAAATAATATCATATATACCGGCCTTCTAAAAATCTATGCCTTCTTCTACGCTCAGTCGTATCAACAAATAATATAAAAAATAGAAATTGTAAATCATTCATATCAAACATTTTAAAATTGAAAATAAATGTATGAATCGGGACATGTTTCGTATCTCCCAAATCTCCCGTAATTTTTGCGATTCACAAAAATTTTAAGAAATTTTTTTTTTGATTTAGGACACAGCCTAATGAATTTTTATAAAATGTGATTTGAGTCATTTTAGCAGTTTAAATACAAATCAAAACAACACTTTTTTTGCACTTTTTATTGAATATTTATAAATAAATGCTATAACTTGACAAATTTAAACATTCATAAGAAATATAAGGTAATGGTTATTAAAAAATAAATGTATATAAAAATTTTGGAAGAGTTTCTAATTAATTTGTGTACAATGATTGCCCTTAATATCAATAATAATATTTTGTAATAAGCAGTCAGCCTTAACAATTTATATAATATTAGTTTCTAAGGATTTATATAAGTGTTGAACATGATTATCTTCAAATAATATAAAATATAGAATTAGTAAATCATTCACATCAAACATTTTATATATTATAATTTGAAAATAAATGTATGATTCGGGACATGTTTTGTACCTCTTAAAACTCACAAAAGTTTTGTGATTTGAAAAACTTTTGAGAAATTTTTTTTTTAATTTAGGACAGAGCCTTAAGTGAAATTAAAAGAAATTTCTTTTATGCAATCTAGTCAAAAATTTACAAAAAAATTAATGGCAATAAAAGCAACCCAAAACCCAATGCCCCCCCCCTCCTACAAGAATCAATATTATATAAATATTTATAACAATTTTTAAAAATATTTAGCCTATGTTAAAAATATTGAGTATAGATTAGTTGTATCTTAATCTTATTGTAGGTTCCTTCATTTGCATCAAGATATATAAATTTTAATAAAAGGGTAAAATAATTATAATGATTCTATGAGGGTATATACAAATATCCCATATACATGTATGGGGCTAGTAAGGTAATATTTATACATTTTATTATTCTAACATATAAATAATTTAAAATTACTTCTAATGACTTGTTAAATTTCGTATACATTTCTGCAGTATTTATTGTTTCAATACTAAAATATTAATGATTATAAAGTCTAAAATAATGAAAACCTTATTCCACGTGCCTTTTTCCTTAAATTTTGAAGTTCCTTTAAGCATTCTATGGCTTCACTAAAAATAGTTTATAATAACTTTATAATATATATATTACGAATTGTCATCTTCCGGTTCATTATCAGTGATAGTTTTACGAATTTGTTTATTGCGTGTTTTCTTAGGTTTTATTTTGAAAACTTCATCATTCATATTGAACTAAAATTTATATAAATTTTTCTAATACAAACCTATTATAATCACTTGACATGATGTCAAATTCTGACAGTTCAAATATAATTAAAAAAATATATATAACACTTCTTTACGTCAGTAAATTCTTAAATATAATATATAAAATACCATCTCCAATGCTAATCTATATTTTTATAAAAAATTTAATTTCATCCCTAATCTAATTTTATAATATAAACTGACCTCAGTAGACAACCCAGGCATTTGCCCCAGTGGCATGGCATGGTTAGCTAGGTGCTTTCAATAAGCACCAGGTTTTTAAAAATAGCATCAATTTTAAAAAATGGATTATTACCCTTTTATTTTTAATTAGCACCCAATTTTAAACAATTTACACCAGGAATGTATTGTAGGGGGCTGCTGGGGGCTAAGCCTCCCTACTAGCTAATTTTATAATCCATCTTTAATCTTGAGGAGGTATTAAGCTCCCCGACTAAAAAAATTTAATATTTTTTAAAGTGTTCAATTTGAATCCATCTTCTTTTAATTATTCTCATAAATTAAAAAATTATTTTCAAAAATATTTTTTTTCCCATCATATCTTTTTTTTATAGTTAGATGGCGCCTTTATAGCATATTTTATTTTTATATGAAATTTAAAGATATAAAAAAATATTTTTTTAAAAATATTAATATAAAATAAAGTCTAATATAAATGATATTGGTTGGAGAAGAAAATGCAATAACAAAAGACAGTGACATGTTTTAAAATTTTTTGTTTCATATTCCAAGAGGGTAGGGGGGGGGGGGGCTCTCGATCCCTTTAAATATTCTATAAAATAAATATTATTGACGTTAATATTTTAAACATCCAATTTGATTTAAAATGTTTAAAACCCACAATATAAATTTTTATACATCGCCGCCTCTGCTTTATTTGCATATAGAGCGAGGTTCATCACTAGTAGTGGTGCTAAATGGCTTAATTTTTAGAAGGTTTTGGGCCGAATCTAAAAAGAATAAACCAACTTTTTACACGAAACTATTGTCTTACTGTTGATTGAGGTTAAACAGGATAGCTCATTCTTAAAAAAATTAACTCGTGCCGTGCTTCAAGGCATAGTTAATTTTTTTTCCACTGCTAGGATTGAGAGCCAATTCAACAACATTATAGGCAAGGAATAATCCAATTTAAAAAATCTCATAATAGGGGCAATGTTAGTTGTAAGATTAATCCATCTACTTTGAAAGAAATAATAATTTGGGGTGTTTTTTTATCAGATTCTTTGGTTCCTTTGGGCACTAATTCATTTTTTATAGATTAAATGATATTGTAAAATAAAAGCCTTAGAATATTCTTAAAGAAATTAAAAATTCCTTAATATTGATACTTTATCCTGTATTATTGCCGAGTTTAAAAGGGGCCTTCATCTTATGAATTTGTTCATGGTAGATAATCAAGTAAATTTAAGAATAAATAATTTGTAAAATATTCATAAATATTTATGGATCATCGATATCGGAGTGAGCTTCAGATCCATATATCAAAATACGAAAAAAAAATCGAAGAGCGAATGAAATCTTTTTATAAAAAAAATACAGCTCTAAGGAAATAAGGAAATGAAAGATTTATGAGAAATTTAATTATTTATATCAAAATAATAATTTGTATAAATATCGTTAGTATTAAGTTTGTACCAATATTTTAATATAAATAAAATATTAACTCATATTTGCAATAAAAAAAAATTAATTTTATATATATCATATTTATGATAATATAAAAAATTATAGCCCACTTGCCTGATTTTTGAGCAATATCACTGATTAGCACCGATTTAAACAATATTAATATTTAATTTAAATAACTTTTTTACAAAATGTTAGGGCTTATTTTAAACAAATATTATTTTTCTTGTAGCATTAAATCATTTTACTTTTATAATTTATTTTCTTTTACTCGAATTGGTTTAAAATCAAATTATATCATATGAAAATCAGTTTTATTAACGATCAGCATTGCCGGATCAATTTAAAAAGATCATATTAGATCGAAAAACGATCATTTAAATTTTACGGTAATTGGCCCGTACCAGGCGAGATATATTTTTAAAAGTTTTCGATTTGACCTTTTCTGTCCGGACCACTAAATATTTCTAAGTCCGAACCACTAAATATTTCTAAATATTATATTTTAATTTAAGATCTCAGTATTTCTTTATTAATATCCAATAAGTGGTCATTATATTTATTAAGATACGTATTTAATGTTTAATATTTTTTAAATTGTTAATATTTTAATTTATAAATTAAAATTAAATAGGAATAATAATAAATGTCTTTTTTTGTCAAAATAAAATTGAAATGATTATATATATTTTTAATAATAATGATCATTTCTCCTTATAATCTTGATCCTTGATACCTTAAGATAGATGTCTCTGCTATTTAAATATTTCTAAAAATTTATACTCCATAAGTGACCTTAATTGTGACAGGTTTTGAGCTTAAAAATATATTAGATCAATTTAGTTGTTTTTTTAAATATATATTGTTTGTATAAAATTAATTATTTATATTATTTTATTTTTTATAATTTAGATGAAAATTTAATTTTAATTGATTATTTTAAAAAAAAGATATGTATATATTTTAATTTTTTGTTTGCTGTTAAATTTTAAGTTAACAAAGTTATCTTATACTTTTCTGAAAGGCTATGAGAAAAATTTCAAAAATATGATAAAAGATGCTTCTTAAAAAAATCAAAAAGTAAAACAAAAAAATAAGTCAACCAATACCCCGTCCATTTTTTTTTAAAAATGGCATTTTCCGGCCCATTTATATTAAAATTAAAGTTAATTTTTTTAATATTAAATTAAAAAGAACCCAAAAATATTAAAAACAAAAGCAAATCAAAAAAAAAATAAAATAGCCAAGGTAAAATATTTAATAGTTGTTCAGCTTTTTATCTTTTTTGGTCAAAGGTCCAAATAGATTTGCAAGTTTTTTAAGAAAATAATTCCGTTTTTTAATACCGGTTTTAGATACGGTCATTTATTTTATTATCAGATTTTCATTTAAATTCCTTTGTATAAATTTGTATATTTCAAAATTATTTTGTATAAAAAATAATATTACATTATTTATTTTCTAATGATCAATTACAATTCAAAGTAATTTAGTTTTGTCTGAGATTATAGAAGAAAAACTATATTTAGCCCTAGAAAGGTAAAGTAGAAAATATTTCTCGAGGGGTAAGTTAGAGTATTTTTTTTCTGTAAATTTAATTGTATATATAATATATATCATATGTTTAGCAGATTTCAAGCTAAAATCTTTCATATTTTCAAAACATCAAAGAACATATTTAATTTTTGTCATTTTATATTTTTAATTTTATTTTAAAAAAAATATTTGAATTTTTGTAAATATCATTTTTTTATTAGATTTATGTCGCTAGGTTTCGTTCTAGCCCTGTCTCTAGCCTGGGAAGGTAAGGTCTGAGAATCATAAATGGTGATAAATCAAAAATAGTGATGAATAGTAAAATAAAGCGCGGTCGTTACTAATGGTACCTTTTTGAGAAATAGGAACAAAGGTAACAATCAAAACGCGTTTCTTTTTTTTTGTATAACGTTAACACAAAACGTTACTTTAAATTAAAATTGTTTCTTAAAAAATATTTTTTAGTTTATAATATTATTATAAATAATGCAAGCCGAGTTTTTAATTCAAATCAACCACCAAAGTTATTCATTTTTATTTTATATATTACAATTTTATTGTTGAATTTATATAATCAAGATTGTTAATCTAGTTAATATTGAATCAATCAAGGTATTGAAGAAAATCATGATAAACGTGCCAGTATGTAAAAATATCTTTTATTATTATTAACTTTATTATATCAATTTCTTTTTCTTTTCTTAAGGTATATATATATTTTTTACAAATCAAAATTAGAATACAATATTAAAAAAACGAAAAACAAAAAGTAAAATATTACAAAATATAAAAAGTAAGGTAACGAAATATAAAAAGTAGAGTTATAAAATTAGATTATAAAAAGTAATAAGGTTAAAAATTAGAATATAATAACGTAACATTCTCCCTCTTCTGAAAGCCTTCCCATAAATTCATCTGAGAAGTCATAGAGAGTTTGTTGTCGAAGTAGTTTATCGTTTTAGTAATCAAGTTGTTTCACAAATCATCATATCGTTGGCTTGTCCCAATCGTTGGTTTGTTTAAATCGATTTTTTACGTTGGTTTGTTTAAATCGCAAGCTTGATATCCTTATCGTAAGTTGTCTCCATTAATCATAGCTTGCTTGGTAGTACTCAGTTGTTATTATTATCATTTTTCAAAATTGTTATTATCATCAGTAAGTTGCGAATTATAAGAAATAATAGTTCATCATGTTGGATATAAGAATAAACGACGAATGATAAATCAATAAGATTGTTATATAATATTTTCAGCGTTTTAATTTTATGCGTTTTATTGTAAGCGTTTTAATATTTAATTTACTTTATGCATTTTAATATTTATTTTATATTTTAAGTTATGTAGTCTTTTAAATAAACAGGTTTTTGTTTAATTCGTACAGGTCTAGAAATAGGTGTTATATCGTTATTATCAGTAATTTTTATATTTTTGTCCACACTTCCCTTCTTAAAAGAATCCTTAGAGTCATAGTTAATAATTGTGTTAAAACAGTTTCTAATTCTTATTTGATCTAAATGTCTCCTCAAAATACCTTTCTTTGTCTTAATTTGGAACATCATATCACTTTCTTTATGTGTGATCATACCTTTGCACCATTTATCATCACCTTGTACTTTATACCAAACAAAATCTCCTACATTAAAAGTTCTATTACGTGGTAACGTAACGTTTATCTTATTCTCCTTTTCCTCCAACGGTTTTAATAAGTCCCATTTAATTCTAATATCTCGATTAAACATTCTCTGATAAGGTGTAACACCTGTAGTATCATTACGCGTATTTCTGTAATTAAATAAAAATTTGCCAAGCGCGATGTCTAGGTCAATTTTAATATTCCTTTTCATATGTGTTTTGAACGTTCTCACCATGAGTTCTACCTGGCCATTGGATTGCTGGTGATACGCAGACGTGAGCACATGTTTAATACCAAAATTGTTGCAAAATTTTTCAAAATCGTTACTCGTAAAGTTAGTGCCGTTATCAGTAACTATAGTTTCAGGTATTCCATATAGCGAAATAATTTTAAAGATTTCCTTTAAAGTAACATCAGTCGTAATATTTTTAACAGGAATAATAATTGGAAATTTGCTGTAGGCATCGACTATTATCAACCAATTTTTTGTGAAAAACGGACCCGCATAATCTAAGTGTATTCTTTCAAACGGTTTGGTTGCGGAAACCCATGGTTTTTGTATCTTTATATGATTATCATGATATATGTTATAATCGTCACAACATTTCACTTCCATTACAATATCATTATTTATACCAGGCCACCACATGTAATCTTTGGCTAAGGATTTGATTTTTCCTGCTCCCAAGTGACCTTCATGTAATGACGGTAGTATATTTTTTCTCATAGAAGACGGAATTATGATTTTGTTGCTTTTGTAAAGACAATCCTTAATTATACTTAATTCCAATTCAATGTTTTTATAAATATTATTCATTATAGGCCTGTTGTTATTAATATCATTTATAACTTGTTTTAATTCCATATCTTTCAAAAGTTTCATCTCGAATTTGATTAAAATTAATAGGTAAATCCCCATATTCATTTATTATGGTGATATTTTCAATAGTTTCATCATGACATTCTTGTGGTAATCTCGAGAGACAATCAGGAACAACGTTATATTTACCGGCTTTATACATTATATTAAAATCATATCCTCCTAATGTAATATTCCACTTCTGGAGTCTTAAGGACATGGTTCTATTATCCTTAAGACCCTTGGTAAAGATGTGAACTAGAGGCTTATGGTCAGTAATAATTGTAAATTTTGTACCGATTAAATATTTCTGGAACCTCTTTATGGCGAGCATAATGGCGAGAGCCTCACGCTCAATATTGGTATAGTTCATTTCAGATTTTAATAAAGTTCTCGACGCGAAAGCTATAGGTTTTTCTTTACCGTCTTTTTCAATATGAAATAGACCAGCTCCTAAACCACATTTCGATGCGTCAGTGGCTATCCCTATAGGTAATTCAGGGTTAAAATATGTCAAAGCAGGTGGAAGACTAATCAACTTCTTAAGATCATTAAAACTTTTAGAGTGTTTAAGGTTCCAAGCCCATTTTTCTTTGTTGACAATCTTATATAGAGGATCGGCAATTTCTGCAAAATTGTTCAAAAATTTTCTATAGTAGCCAGCCATTCCCAGAAATGTTGATAATTCAGCAGCTGATTTTGGTTCTGGCATATTAATTATTGCTTCAATTTTGTCGTGATTAGCATGAATCCCCTTAGCGTCAATATCATGACCCAGGAACCTTACTTCGTTTTTAAAGAACACACTTTTGAGAATGTTACGTTATTATATTCTAATTTTTAATCTTATTGTTACTTTTTATAATCTAATTTTATAACTCTACTTTTTATATTTCGTAACCTTACTTTTTATATTTTGTAATATTTTACTTTTTGTTTTTCGTTTTTTTAATATTGTATTCTAATTTTGATTTGTAAAATATATATATATACGAAGTGTAAAATGGAAAAGATAGATATAATAAAGTTAATAATAATAAAAGATATTTTTACATACTGGCACATTTATCATGATTTTCTTCATGGTACTCCATAATAGGTATAAGAAACTCACCTTATGGAAATTAAATTTTTTTTGGTATAAATGATTAATAAAAAAAATTATTATTAGTTCTATATAAAGGAAGAAAATAAAAGGTAAAATCATTGTGATATTTTTTTATATATCATGTTCGCTTTCAAATTAATCAATATTCCCCATGATATTTCAATTTATGACATTTTGTTTGACTTAACCTACAACTGTGATGTAAATTATTCTAGAATAAGTGGAACGGAAGATGTTCTGTTTGAATTCATTTAAGAGATATGATTGGTTGCTTTGAATTGTTGAATGGGAAGCATTATATATATAATGATAATGAATTTATCGAATTAATTTGCATATTCATCAAAATATAAATTGCTAAAATATTAAATGTTATAATTTCTTACATATATGTCTTACCAATAAAAAATGGAAATAAAACAAGAGTTTTATACATAAGATTCTAAGTTAGTGGGACCACTTACTGAAATTTATTTAGACAGAATATTAAATTATTTTTCGACCAGCACATCATCGGACTGTATTAAAATAAATACTTTGCTTAATAATTTATCAGACGAAGTTTTTGACAATATTAAATCAATTTGTTCTGATACCGACATTTTAGATCTTAAAATTGTGATTAAAAAGTTAACTTACCTTTTACCTGTGCAAGATAAAAACATTTTAATTAATAAGTTTAATCTGCTTCAACAAAACTCATCAGAGAGTTTTATGCTGTGGTACATAAGAGTATCGAAACTTCATAAAAAATGTAATTTTTTGGACGACAGTAGATTAAAAGAAAAATTACGTACATCTACCTTAAATGATAAGATAAAATATAAGTTCTCTAAAAATATCGACTTAACATTAAACCAGATGGTCGAATTAGGGGTGAAACTGGACTGTATTAGCATTAAGTCAGATGATAATGATATAGGTTATATAAATAATGATAAAAAGTCTGATAAAGATAAAAACTTTTACAATAAAAATAGAAATGACAACAATAATTATTTTAGACCTGATAATAATTTTAGAAATAATTATGATAATAGAAATAGAAATGGGAATTACAATAATAATTTTAGATACAATTACGGTAATAATAATTCGAGATACCACGATAATTATAACAATTATAACTACAACAACTATCGTTATAACAATAATAATCAATCTAATTATGGTAGAAATAATACATGGTATGATAATAATCAAAGAAAACAGATCCAATACGGTGATGGAAATCGTAACAATTACCAATCTAATTACAACAATTCAAATAATTATAGAGGTAATGACTATAATCAGAGAAAACAAATACAATATAACAATAACTCAAATAATTTTGGAGGTGGCGACAACAATATTAGAAAGCAAATACAATACAAAAATGATTATAATATGAATATTGAAGAAATTATTGAAGAGAAAGTTGACTCTACAAAGAACAAAGATGATAATAATTTTAATGTTAACAACTTATCTGGTGACATGCTTAATGATAAAGATAACGCATTTATGACAACCTTAAAAGTGAACGATATTTTTACATGTATGCAAGTGGATACGGGCTCTAAACACACTATTATACCTCATGGTCTGGCTAAAAAACTTGGTATTAGAGATCTTAAGAAATCCGAGCTAAAACTCACCGCATATGACGGAAATTTAATCAAGATCATCGGCACTACTCAAGTCAAAGTGACTTATGAAGGTATCTCAAAATGTTTACAAGCCGTAGTCGTCAAATCAAGTAAAAATGCCTTGTTGTGACGTACATGGATCAATGCTTTCAAAAATATTTTAAATAAATTTATAGTTAATGTTGACATTAATTACGAAGATGAAATAAAAAAATTAATTAAAGAGTGTGAATCTAAATTGACTAATGGGCCAATCAACAAAGCAAGTATCAAGTTACATTTAAGAAGAGATGCCCAACCTAAAATTATACCGCCTAGACGTATTCCTTAATCAAAGATTGATCTTGTTAGCAATGAACTTAAAAAATGGATACAAGATAAAATAATTGAGCCGGTGAATGATGTCAGATGGGCAAATCCTGTTACCGCTGTCTACTAAGATGATGGGAGCATTAGGCTTTGTGTTGATTTTAAGGACACTGTAAACCCAGCTCTAGAAGATTTCAGATACCCTTTACTGCGAATAAATGATCTAATAGCTAAACTTTCAGAAGGAAAGAAATTTACGAAGATTGACTTTAAAAATGCTTTCTTACAGATACCAATTGATAAAAGTTGCAGAAATATTTTAACCATATCTACGCACAAGGGATATTACCAATTTACTAGACTTCCTTTTGGGCTTAAGACCTCATCTGCAATTTTTCTACAGATTATGGATCAAATCTTTGGTGACATGGATGATGTCATATTTTACATTGATGATTTACTTATAAATGGAAAAAATGATGAAGCCCACCTTAACAACATAAAAAAAGTGTTTAATAGAATATCATCGTTTGGGCTAATACCTAACTTTAATAAAAGTGTGTTCTTTAAAAACGAAGTAAGGTTCCTGGGTCATGATATTGACGCCAAGGGGATTCCTGCTAATCACGACAAAATTGAAGCAATAATTAATATGCCAGAACCAAAATCAGCTGTTGAATTATCAACAATTCTGGGAATGGCTGGCTACTATAGAAAATTTTTGAACAATTTTGCAGAAATTGCCGATCCTCTATATAAGATTGTCAACAAAGAAAAATGGGCTTGGAATCTTGAACACTCTAAAAGTTTTAATGATCTTAAGAAGTTGATTAGTCTTCCACCTGCTTTGACATATTTTAACCCTGAATTACCTATAGGGATAGCCACTGACGCATCGAAATGTGGTTTAGGAGCTGTACTATTTCATATTGAAAAAGACGGTAAAGAAAAACCTATAGCTTTCGCGTCGAGAACTTTATTAAAATCTGAAATGAACTATACCAATATTGAGCGTGAGGCTCTCGCCATTATGCTCGCCATAAAGAGGTTCCAGAAATATTTAATCGGTACAAAATTTACAATTATTACTGACCATAAGCCTCTAGTTCACATCTTTACCAAGGGTCTTAAGGATAATAGAACCATGTCCTTAAGACTCCAGAAGTGGAATATTACATTAGGAGGATATGATTTTAATATAGTATAAAGCCGGTAAATATAACGTTGTTCCTGATTGTCTCTCGAGATTACCACAAGAATGTCATGATGAAACTATTGAAAATATCACCATAATAAATGAATATGGGGATTTACCTATTAATTTTAATCAAATTCGAGATGAAACTTTGAAAGATATGGAATTAAAACAAGTCATAAATGATATTAATAACAACAGGCCTATAATGAATAATATTTATAAAAACATTGAATTGGAATTAAGTATAATTAAGGATTGTCTTTACAAAAGCAACAGAATCATAATTCCGTCTTCTATGAGAAAAAATATACTACAGTCATTACATGAAGGTCACTTGGGAGCAGGAAAAATCAAATCTTTAGCCAAAGATTACATGTGGTGGCCTGGTATAAATAATAATATAGTAATGGAAGTGAAATGTTGTGACGATTGTAATATATATCATGATAATCCTATAAAGATACAAAAACCATGGATTTCGGCAACCAAACCGTTTGAAAGAATACACATAGATTATGCGGGTCCGTTTTTCACAAAAAATTGGTTGATAATAGTCGATGCCTACAGCAAATTTCCAATTATTATTCCTGATAATAATATTACGACTGATGTTACTTTAAAGGAAATCTTTAAAACTATTTCGCTATATGGAATACCTTAAACTATAGTTACTGATAACGGCACTAACTTTACGAGTAACGATTTTGAAAAATTTTGCAACAATTTTGGTATTAAACATGTGCTCACGTCTGCATATCACCAGCAATCCAATGGCCAGGTAGAACGCATGGTGAGAACGTTCAAAACACATATGAAAAGGAATATTAAAATTGACCTAGACATCGCGCTTGGCAAATTTTTATTTAATTACAGAAATACGCGTAATGAAACTACAGGTGTTACACCTTCTCAGAGAATGTTTAATTGAGATATTAGAATTAAATGGGACTTATTAAAACCGTTGGAGGAAAAGGAGAATAAGATAAACGTTACTTTACCACGTAATAGAACTTTTAATGTAGGAGATTTTGTTTGGTATAAAGTACAAGGTGATGATAAATGGTGATAAATGGTGCAAAGGTATGATCACACATAAAGAAAGTGATATAATGTTCCAAATTAAGACAAAGAAAGGTATTTTGAGGAGACATTTAGATCAAATAAGAATTAGAAACTGTTTTAACACAATTATTAACTATGACTCTAAGGATTCTTTTAAGGCGGGAAGTGGACAAAAATATAAAAATTACTGATAATAACGATATAACACCTATTTCTAGACCTGTACGAATTAAACAAAAACCTGTTTATTTAAAAGACTACATAACTTAAAATATAAAATAAATATTAAAATGCATAAAGTAAATTAAATATTAAAACGCTTACAATAAAACGCATAAAATTAAAACGCTGAAAATATTATATAACAATCTTATTGATTTATCATTCGTCGTTTATTCTTATATCCAACATGATGAACTATTATTTCTTATTATTCGCAACTTACTGATGATAATAACAATTTTGAAAAATGATAATAATAACAACTGGGTACTACCAAGCAAGCTATGATTAATGGAGACAACTTACGATAAGGATATCAAGCTTGCGATTTAAACAAACCAACGTAAAAAATCGATTTAAACAAACCAACGATTGGGACAAGCCAACGATATGATGATTTGTGAAACAACTTGATTACTAAAACGATAAACTACTTCGACAACAAACTCTCTATGACTTCTATGAATTTATGGGAAGGCTTTCAGAAGAGGGAGAATGTTACGTTATTATATTCTAATTTTTAATCTTATTGTTACTTTTTATAATCTAATTTTATAACTCTACTTTTTATATTTCGTAACCTTACTTTTTATATTTTGTAATATTTTACTTTTTGTTTTTCGTTTTTTTAATATTGTATTCTAATTTTGATTTGTAAAATATATATATACGAAGTGTAAAATGGAAAAGATAGATATAATAAAGTTAATAATAATAAAATACATTTTTACATACTGGCACGTTTATCATATTTCTTTTCATTAACCTTTAAATTGTTTTTTTTTAAGTTGATATAAATTAATTTTTTTATAAATTGATAGATTGATTTTTTTAATATAAATTTTGATATATTTTGTTATATAAAGCAGATTTTTTTTTAGTTCAAAAGAGGATGTAAAATTTTAAAATATATATTGTATAAAATTTAATAATTTATTTAAATAAACGATTTTTATATTAACCAATCTTCTAAAATACTTTATGGTGGCAGCTCCGCTACATATTCGAGGAAATCGTAAATAAATAAATAAATATGAAATAGATTCCCAATAATAATGTTAATATAAATATTGAATTTCCAATATACGCAGGCATTGGCGATCTTTTTTTGAGTAGATTCGAAGATATCTTCAAGGACACTCAGATCTCGGATATCGAAAAAGCAGGTTCCTTTACAAGAAGACTACCAGATGAGGTATATATCAAGCTTAAATCGATATGTTCACCTACCGACTTCATCAATCCATAGATATTGATTGAAAAATTCAGGTTATTACACCCGAGGAAATCTACAAGTTCCAACTTATTATTATTTAATGCAGCTGTACAAGGTAAAAACGAAAGTTACATCGATTGGGTAAGTAGATTATGCATTTTAAAAAATGAATGTTTGCTAAGTGATAGTAGAGTTATTGAAAAAGTAAAAATTTCGTCAATCAGCAAAAATATTAGGCAGAAAATTACGTTAAAAGAAAACATTACATTAGAAGAAGTTCTTACTTTAAGAGATGATTTTGAAGAGTTAGAATTGAAAGAAAATATAATTGCTTAAATTGAAAATATTTCTTTTAACGAAAAAACAGAAGATGATACAACCGTGAAACATATAGAAAGGCAAAGAGGCAGGAAAACAGAAGAAAATAAACAATTGGTGAGATATGGAGACCATGATGAACGACAAAATTTACAATCTAATTACGATAACAGACAATGGACAGCAAGAGGCCATGACTTTCAAAGAAATATTTATCAAGGAAATAGTTATAATCCAGATATCAAGGAAATAATTACAACCCTAGATATCAGAATTATAACGTGAATTATTACAACAACGTCAGAGCAAACTATCCAGGATCGTACAATAATTCTTCGAGATTTGATAATAGAGCTAGTTATAATAAAAATGACTATAATAATAATAGATTTAATAATGATTATAATTACAGATATAACAGACATTATAACAATTCAAGATGTATTCAAAGATATAACGATAATCATAATATTGGAAATCGAGGAACAAATCAAATGTGCAATTGTAAATATCATAACAACGACAATAATCAATCACGATATACAAATAAAGTAAACACTGTAAATATAGAAGAGATAAAAGAAGACGATAATGACAAACTAGAAAGAAAAGAATATAATTTATACAATTTAGACATAAACAATATGGATACCGATAATAATTACACAGCTAACGATGCTTATAAGGTCACGGTATATTTGAACGACATGCCTATTTTGATGCAGATTGATACCGGGTCGAGGTTTAGTATTCTACCGATTCATATCGCGAAAAAGATTGGAGTAAAGATCTTAAATAAATCAGATATTAAATTAACTGGATATGATGGAAACACAATAAATGTATTAGGAACTACCAAAGTCAAGGCAAAATTCGAGGACAAAAGTCAAATCTTAACTGCTTATGTAGTCCAGAGTGATAAGATTGCATTGTTAGGAAGGACTTGGATAACAGTTTTTGGGAATATACTAGATAAATTTGTGAATATTGTCGAGGATGATTATGA